GCAGTGGCTGTTTGAGTGTTTGGGAATCTTTTTTGGTCTGCTATGTACTGTCAATTTCTGTGTCTCAAGAAACCTCTGCGGTCTCTCTAAGCCCGCTCTCTTGGTCTTCTCTCCTGATTTGTTTTCTTGGTCTTCTCAGTATTGTAGCAAAACTCTCTGTGTTTCAGAGTTCCACTGAGGTTGCAGGAGGCTAGGCGAGTTTGAGGGTGGGATGGGGCTGGTAGTTTGCTAGGTCTGGTGGATGGGGTTGGGTAATGGGAGAGCCTATCTGCAGGGAACTCTACTGCTGGCTGGTTATAAAAGCCAAGGAATTGGGTGAAGGGGCCTGGGGTTTTGTCCCACTGTGGATGTCCTAGAGAGTGGGGTATCCTACCATGTGGCTCTTTACTCACCTCTTATGTCCCCTCAGTATTGGAGCAAGCTGTGTTTCAGAGTTCTATTGAGGTTGCAGGAGGATAGAAGACTTTGATTATTTTAAATTGATAAGAATATTATTCTTATCTATACAATTTACTGTTCTTTGGGTCATATTTGGTTTGATAACTGTACCTAAATTTAAACATATGGCCTCCTATGGTTTCTGGTTATGAATCTGCTTAGATGTTGCATTAACACTCTTTTTAGAGGCTGGGAGTAGGCTGAACACTGATTTTTTGTCCTTTTAATTGTGTCTATCAACACCCTTGCTGTCATCTCAGTATTATTAGCAGTGACTTGAGGTCAGGTCCTTAATGTACAAATGGTTTTGGCTGCATTTCATTTTATATAAATCTCTACTTGTCAAAAAAAAACCCAACAAAACAAAAGAAAGAATAAATAAATAAATTCCTTAGCTAAATCAAATCCCCAGCAGCAAACTAAAGCCTGGGCTCCCTCTCTCTCTCTCTGTCTCTCTCTCTCTAGCTATCTCTGTCTCTCTTCCTCCTTGTCCCATACACACTTATCTCTTAACTGCTTTTCCAGCATGAGCCTCTCTCTATAATCAGATATAATCAGATCATTTTTAATAGATACTATCTATTCTGTACATATTAAGCCCTTGCCAGACATTAGAAAATAAAAATAAAGGTAATTTTTTCTTCCAAAGAAATATTAGTTGATTATAGAACCCCAATATGTAGCAATATATTTTAAATATATCATTGTTACAACCCTTTTACCTCTTCAGAGAGATTATCTATTTCTAGAAGCCTAGATTCTGCCTGCTTGCCACTTATTTGAGACAGTTTACTGCAGTCTCTGGCCAATGGTAAATTCAGTAAGTGTTAAAGATTCACATGGCTCCTGCAATTTAACTCTTAATGAGAATTCATTAATATTTTAAGCATATGATTAGTATTAGAACAATACTTTTCCTACATGGGAAATTGAACTTAAAGACCCAGACATATGGCACTCTACTGCTGAACTGTATTCTTACCCCAGATAATAAGTTACTGTAACATATAATTTTTTCTATTTTTATTGTTTTTATTGAGCTATATATACCTTTTTCTGCTCCCCTCCCTTCCTCCCCCCTTCTACCCTCTCCCATGATGACCACACTCTCAATTTATTCAAGAGTTCTTGTCTTTTTCTCTTAGGGTCTCCTTGTTATCTAGATTTTCTGGGGTTGTGAATTGTAGGCTGGTTTTTCTTTGCTTTATTTCTAAAAGTCATTTATAGGTGAGTATATATTATTTTTGTCCTTCTGAGTCTGGGTTACCACACTCAATATGATGATTTCTCTATGCATCCACTTTCCTGTAAATTTCAAGATGTTATTTTTTCCACTGTGTAGTACTCCATTGTGTAAATATATCACATCTTCTTTATCCCTTCTTCAGATGAGGAGCATATAGGTTCTTTCTAGGTTCTGATTATGACAAATATTGCTGTAATTAACATAGTTGAGCACATGTCCTTGTGGTATGACTAAGCATCCTTTGGGTATATGCCCAAAAGTGCTAATTCTGGGTCTTGAGGTAGATTGATTCCTAATTTTCTGAGAAATAAACATCTGATTTTCAATGTAGCCATACTAGTTTGCACTCCCAACAGCAATGCAGAAGTGTTCCCTTTACCCCCACGTCCTCTCCAGCATAACCTGTCATCAGTGTGTTTGATCTTGGCCATTCTTACAGATGTAAGATGGAATTTCAAAGTTGTTTTGATTTGTATTTCTCCAATGGTTAAGGATGTTAAGAATTTTCTTTCTTAAGTGTCTTTCAGTCATTTCAGATTCCTATGTTGAGAGTTCTCTAACTAGGTCTGTACTCCATTTTTTTTATTGGATTATGTGTTCTTTTGATGACCAATTTCTTGAGTTCTTTGTATATTTTGGAGATCCCACCGCTGCCTGATGTGGGGTTAGTGAAGATCTTTTCCCATTCTGTAGGCTGTCATTTTGTCTTGTTGGCCGTATCTTTGCTTTACAGAAGCTTTCAGTTTTCAGGAGGTTCCATTTATTAATTGCTTCTCTCAGTGTCTTTGTTGCTGGGGTTATATTTAGGAAGTAGTCGCCTGTGCCAATGCCTTCAAGTGTACTTCCCACTTTCTCTTCTATAAGGTTCAATGTGGCTGGCTTTATGTTGAGGTCTTTGATCCATTTGGACTTGAGTTTTTTACATGGAGATACATCTGAATCTATTTTCATTTTTATACATGTTTATATCCAGTTATGCTGCACCATTTGTTGGATATGGTGTAACATGATGGCCGGCTTGTTGGGGTATCTGTCCCGCCTGGTACCCGACAGCCGGCAAGTCCCAGAGAAAATCAATCACACAGAGATCTCTATAAGTTATAAAGCTGACTGGCCCATTAGGCCAGGCTACTTATTAGTTCTTATGACTTATCTTAACCCATTATTCTGATCTATGTTAGCCATACGGCTTGGTACCTTTTTCAGCGGTCGGCTCACATGTTGCTTCTTCGGTGATGTGGGCAGGAATGGTGAAGGAAGCTTCCTGTTTCCCAGAATACTCCCAGTCTCTTTACTCCACCTCTACTTCCTGTCTGGCTTTCCTGCCTATACTGCCTGCCAGGCCAATCAACGTTTTATTAAAATATGATTGACAGAATACAGATAATTCTCCTGCACCAATATGGTTTTTATCCATTTTATATTTGTACTGTAGCTCAGTAGTAGAATTTGAAGTCAGGAATTGTGATGCCTCCAGAAGTTCTTCATACAGGATTATTTTGGCTATCCTGGGTTTTTGCTTTGAAAATCTTGTAGAATTATGTGCTGAAATTTTTTTCTGAACTTTTTCTGGTTGGGAGAGTTTTGATGACTGTTTCTATTTCTTTAGCAGCTACAGGTATATTTAATTTGCTTATCTTGTCTTGATTTAATTTCAATAAGTGATATTTATCCAGAAAAAAAATGTTCATCTCCTTTAAGTTTTCCAATTATGTGGAGTACAGGTTTTATAAGTATGACCTGTACTCTGTATTTCCTCCATGTTTTTTGTTATGCCCCCCTTTTTGTTCCTGATTTTGTTAAATTGGATATGCTTTCTATGCTTTTGGCTAGTTTTGGATAAAGATTTGTCTATTTTGTTGATTATTCTCAAAGAACAAACTTTTTGTCTCATTTTTTTATTGTTCTCTTTGTTTCTATTTTGTTGATTTAAGCTCTCAATTTGATTATTTCCTTCTGTCTAGTCCTCCTGGATGAGTTTGCTTATTTTTGTTCTAGAGTTCTCAGGTGTTCTGTTAACTCACTAGTATGGGATTTTTTTTCAGCTTCTTTATGTGGACATTTGGTGTTATGAACTTTACTCTTAGCACTGCTTTCATTGTGTCCCATAAATTTGGGTATGTTGTGTGGTTATGTCATTGAATTTTAGAAAATCTTTAATATTTTCTTTTATTTCTTCCTTGACCCATTGGTGAATGAATATTGTTTAATTTCCATGTGTTTGTGGGATTTCTGAAATTAGTGTTGGGGTTAAATTTTAACTTTAAAACATAGTAATGTGATAAAATACATGGGATTCTTTCTATTTTTGTACATGTTGAGGTTTGGTTTGTTACCAGTATGTGGTCAATTTCTGAGACTGTTACATGATGTGCTGAGAAGAAGGTAAATTCTTTATGTTTGGATGAAATGTTCTATAGATATCTATTAAGTCCATTTGAGTCATAACATCTGATAGTTTGCTTATTTATCTGTTAAGTTTCTGTCTAACAGACCTGTCCAATGGGTAAGAGTAAGGCATTGAAGTCTCCCTTACTAGTGTGTGGGGTGTAGTGTGTTATTTAAGCTTTAGTCGTATTTCTTTTACACATGAAGTTGCCCTTATATTTGGAGCATAGATGTGCAGTATTAAGATTTCCGTTTGATGGATTTTTCCTGTGAATAATATAAAATGTCCTTCTTTGTCTCTTTTGATTGATTTTAGTTTGAAGTTTATTTCAGTAGATATTAAGATAGCTACATCAGCTTGTTTCTTAGGTCAATTTGATTGGAAAAAGAATTTTCCCAACCCTTTACTGTGAGGTGATGTCTGTCTTTGATGTTGAGGTGTTTTTTCTGTATGCAACAGAAGAATGGATTCTGGTTTTATAACCAATCTGTTAGCCTGTGTCTTTTTGTAGGTGAGTTGAGTACATTTATATTAAGATATATTAATGACCAGTGATTGCTAGTTCCTGTTATTCTTGTTTTCTTTGTTGTTGATGTTATTTTGTGTGTTTTTTCCTCTTTTGGGATTTGCTGCTCTGAGATCAACTATTTCTGTGTGTTTTTGGATGTAGTTAACTTCCTTGGGTTGAAGTTTTCCTTCTAGTATTTTTTGTAGGACTGGGTTTGTGGCTAAGCATTGGTTAAATCTGGTTCTGTAATGGAATAGCTTATTTTGTCTGTCTATGCTGATTGAAAATTTTGCTGGGTATAGTAGCCTGGGCTGGCATCCATGGTCTCTTAATTTCTGCATAATGTTTAGCCAGGACCTTCTGGCTTTCATTGTTTCCACTGAGCAGTCAGGTGTACTTCTGATAGATATGCCTTTATGTGTGACTTGGCCTTTTTCTTTTGCAGCTCTTAATATTTTTTCTTTATTCTGTATATTTTACAGCTCCAAGAGCCAACAAATAAATGGGTGTTGGAAAAAAAGGACACCAAGTGACTGTTAAAAGGGACACTTGTTCTCATTCCTCAGTAAAATGAAGAGGGGCTGTCTTCCAACATTCCTGATGATGTCTTGTCTTTTACTTCCTCAGCTCCTAAAGAAAGAAAGGATAATTCCCATGAGAAAGCTTGATAAGACTAAATAAGCGTAACCTGTTTAATTTCATATTTATTTCTCCTCTTTGGGTCTTTCCATCCTCTCAGAGACAACTTCTTCTTCAGGGAGAGACTTGAAGGTGCAGTTTCCATGGAGGAAACACAACCTATCAGGGGGGTCAGCAAGCAGATCTGCCTGAGTCTCACATGTGGTGCTTCCCAACATGGACCTGCATCTCTACGGAAGAAGATTTTTGTCTTAATCTCTATTTTCTCTTTCAAAGTTCTGGCAGACTTGGTGAGGAGCAATCTATTTCATTTCTAAATTAGTAATCATACAAAAATTCACAATGACTTGACATTTTCATGAGTGTATAACACTGTGTTTTGAAATCTGTAACTTCTTTGAAGTGTCTTCGGAGACTTTTATCTACAATGACCTGCCCAATCCAAAGCATTATTCATATTTCTATATTATTAGTTAATATAAATTAGTAGTTCCTGATAGAAAAAATATATTTTGCTATACAAATATGATTAGTATGGCCATATTCTTTAATTCTAGTCATAATTGTAAAATATTCATTCACAAGGAATGCTATATTTGTGAGAGTTCCCAAAGCATTCTATGTGAATCTACATTATTCTGATTAATTACCTCTGCATAATACACCATTATTGTATAGAGACTTGTAATTAATTTGCTAACTGTGTAAAGGTGTTCATTCTATTGCTTCCAGAAACTGTTCTGAGTAGTCGAAGTGGACATCATAGTCTACTTCATAGGTACAGCAACTGAAGCCAGTTTGTATTAGTATAAAGGCCTTCCTAGACAGTTTTCCTTTCACCTTCCTATTGACTGTGGCATCTATCCCTTCCAATTAGCCATGATAAATATCTCCTTTAACAGCTTAAACCAGCCTCAAAGTTGCAAGGTCATCCTTAAAATAGTCTTCTTACCAAACTAATTCAAGTTCATTCTCAAAAGAAAGTTTCTAGATAGGTGGAATCCACTTCACATCCTCTTTTGCATTTCTTATCACTGGCAGACGCTTTAAAAAAAAAAAAGAGCTTCCAGATTGTTTCACACTGCTTTCTCCCATCTTTAATAGTCTTTGCAACTGTTATAATAAAAAAAAGACACGAATTGTTAAAAGTATCAATGATATAATACAATTTGCCTTATTGATCACATGATCTGTGTACACTTTTACACACTGGACATGCATCTTTAAGATGTATGCTTTAGAGTCACAGTTATGTGAATAGGACTATGGTTTAGAGCCATGTTCATGATGTAAGTTTTTTGGTTTGGTTCTGTTACCTTCAAGAGTGTTAGAATGTAAGACTGGGACCACAGATTTATGCTACACTTATTCTTTTCTTCAAACTAAACCAATGTTTTCTATATTTTTCTTCAGTTTCCTTTGTTGGTTATATAGTTTTAAGGCTTTTTATTTTGTGAAAAGTCTTTCCTTCTCTTTCAGTTATAGTAGATAATTGTTCTGAGTAATCTAGGCAGATCATTATAGTCTTTAAAACTTGGAATGAATGTCCCAACCTCTTTGGGTTTTCAAAGTTTCCATGAAAAAACACACTGCTGATGTGGGAGTACCCTCTGTGTGCTGTGATGATCATTAATGAATAAAGAAACTGCCTTGGCCTATTGATAGGGCAGAACTTAGGTAGGCAGAGAGGACTGGACTGAATGCTGGGAGAAGGAAGGCAGAAACAAGATGCCATGGATCTGCCAACAGAGTTGGATGTGCTGAAAGTTTGCTGATAGGCCACAACCTCATGGTGATGCACAGATTATTTGAAATGGGTTAAATTAAGATGTAAGAGTTAGCCAATAAAAAATTAGAGCTATGGGCCAAGCAGTGACTTAATTAATACAGTTTCTGTGTGATTATTTCAGTTCTGGGCAGCCAGGATGAACAAGTAGCTCCTTCCAACACACTGCTACCTTTATGTGATTTCCTTCATATGTGGCTTGTGCAACTTTCAATATACTTTTTTTGTTATGTGTACTTAGTGTTTTAACTATGATATTCTGTGGGGATTTTCTTTTATGACCTTATCTACTTGGTGTTCTGTGATCTTCTTGTATCTGTATAAGTGTGTCTTTCCTTTGTTTGGGAAAGTTTTTTTTCTATGATCTTGTTGAAGATCTGGTCTATACCATTGACTTAGAGTTCCTCTCCCTCACCTGTACCCATAATTGCTATAAAAGGACACTGCTCATTCGTTCCAGGCTGTCCAGACCTGAATAATCACACAAAGCTACATTAATTACAACACTGTTTGGCCAATAGCTTAAGCATATTCCTAGCTACCTGTTACATTCTAAATTGACCCATTTCTACTAATCTGTGTATCACCATGAGGCTGTGGCCTAACAGTAGGTTCCAGCACCCTTCTCCTTCAGCAGCTGCATGGCCTCTCTTTGATTCTTACACACACACACATACACACACACACACACACACACACACACACACACACACACACACACATATATATATATATATATATATAT